AATTGACATTAATAGATAGATAATTTTGTGAAGAATTCAAAAATACACAATATAAGTATATTGTATTTTACATGTAAATAATCAGAAAAAGAACAATTTAAAAACAATAAAAAAAAACATATCATAGTAAAACCAATACCTTCTCAGCTTCGCATCGAAGCTAAAATTGTTAGTTTTATAACTGATTATTAATAATAAAAAAAAATTCATTTTAATTTAATATTATTGACAAATAATAATAAATAACATATACATACTGTATATTTTGGTAAAACTTTAGAAACAAGTAATTATGACTTACGTAATTGACTTTGATGATTTTCGGATATTACGTTCACCATCAAAATCCACTGTCATTGGTTCACTTGCACAAGTATAACAAATATTTTCAATTATGGATCTTTAATTATAAACACAGGATAATTCATTAAGTAAAGATCCGTTTGCGTTTTAAATTCAATTAAAGATTTGGATTTAAAAAAAGAAATTCTTTTAATGAGATCAGACCCTCGTCTATACCAATTTATTAATTATTACGGATAGAAAACTTACCAAAAGCAATTAATTTAAAATTTTTCCTTTGATAAATTGGATAAATAAAAAAATTACGCATCCTATAATATTTCATTCTATATGCACATTTATTACATATTTTAAGGTTACATGTATAAGTAAAATCACTAGCGGTGTTACAAACCCGTATTGTTATGATATTAGTGTAGTGGGATTAGGGAATAATTAGTATTAGACAACGAATAAGCAATAATCAATCGCGTTCGAACCTTAAGACAATTAATTGTTGTAAAACAAAAATAAAAAAAAGGGGAAGGGGAGGGATTTAGGATTGAAATGAATGGGGAAATACGCGGGATCTGACTCTTCATTCGGGCGTATGGATCGAGGGTCTACAGTTGTAAAATAAAGCATGCAGGTTGAGTTCAAATAGTGTTACCTGAATATTTATGTTATCCTTAATGAACAGGATTTATGTAATAATAATTTCAACACAAAACAAGTTGATGTCAATTATCAAATGATATAATTATTGTCACTTATTACACAAAATACACAAAAGTGATCCATATGGTAAAAGAAATAGTACATGAAACTTAAATAAAATATTTGTACATACTAATTTAAATATTGTCAATATTATATAAACGATACAGAGAAAAATGCGGA